AATCAGCAGCTCTCGTGAACTACCCTTCTCTTTTCACCGACTTTTAGTGGAAGAAACGATCCGTCGCTCCTGGATCCATTTATCATATTAATAAGTGCATGTTATTCAACCTATCTGTGAAGAACAGAGTGAACAAAATTGTCGAAGACGCCTTGAGTAAAGCCTCAGGATTGGATGACTGTAAGGAAAAGTGTGGCACTGCTGTCTAAGTGGGAGACGGTAGACAAAGGATGAGAGAATAGAAAGACAGGCAGCTGGTCAGCTCAGACAAAGAAACCAGTGGGAAAATCTCGTAAGGATTACTGGAAATGAGCACTTCTAGGTTTTATTGTGGACACTTCAACACATTCGATTATACATTCAATATCCACCACATTCTGGAACGTTTCTGGCATGATCGCAAACAGACAGCCGCTCGTTGAACACCGTTCCTGGGGCGCATGGTCGCTCGAGCCATTTACCTTCAAAAAGTATGGACCAGTTAGTTTTGGCAGCTTCCTTCTGCAAATGTTACATTAAAGACAGCTCCCGCGAGTGTCATGAATAGTTGCTTTTCAATTATGAAACAGTAGCTGATAAGTAATTCCCCAAAGAAGAAAAAAGCAAGAAGAGTCCTCAAGAACACCATAAACAAAATTGCTCTCTAACAGAGCCTGAACACAGCCTCTTCCAAGCAGTGGGGCCTTTGGGAGCTCATCATAACGACAAGCCCAATCGAAAGATTTTAGGTGCAACCGATTCCCGCAATAGCATGGGAAATCGCCCTACGGCGCTCTAGGCTTCACTGAAGTCGTCATCCAGAGCAGTTGATTAGCCGGCCAAGGGTCGCGACGCGGCTGCAGCGCGTCACGATCGCGGCGATCAGCTGTTTCCAGCCTAATTTAGCAATTTTCTCCCTAATTTTCACTGTATTTTCTTTTTTTTCCAAGGTAAGTTGCGTTATTGTCTATATGAAGTATATCAAGACGTGAATTCTTTTTTTTGTTCTTGTAATGGAGTGTTTTTCGCGATTTTTAGGTATTTGTTTAATTGTTTGTTTAATCGTTTAATTGTTCGCAAATGTTAGAAAAATCTCAATCATAATTTATCTTGTGAAGACAAGAAACACTAACCTTGAAAAAGCAGCCAAAAACAGTGAAAAGTAGGGAGAAAATGACTAAACCAGGCCGGAAACAGTTCCTACGTACGCGGTCGCTGCTGCAGCCGCGTCTGCGGCCCTTTGACGACCGCCTTAATCAACTGCCCGGATGACGAGTGTATGTGCAGACGCGATCCCGCTTGTATTGCAGAGTTACAGTACGCGGTTGCACTGGTTGCGAAACTCACGAGTCTCTAGCTTCACTATCTCATCATTTCAAGTGACGGAAGTGGTATATTTCTGCGAGCGCGGACAACGATGCCAAATGCACGGAAGCATTTCGCTGATCACTTTATCGCGGGGAGTGTCTTTAAGTCTCGAATCTGAGTCTCCAAGCTAGAAAACTTACCATGTACACATTGGTAGTATTTGGAACAATCGCTCTCCATTCTTCTATAACCGTCGACACCAGAAGATTCCTGAAATGAATTACAAGTAAGGTAAGGTAATGCCGACCAGCGCTTTGATAATGAACTCACGCGACAGTATGGCTCCACACTCATGCAATTCCCAATGATACACTGACCATTATATAAATCTGTGTGGCCATATGCATGCCTTCTTCGTCCACTCACCTCGTACGCATTGCTGCGAATGATGGATATAATTATATATCTGTTTGTCTTACTATCACTTATCAAATCATTTATTACTAAACCGGATATAATATGTCCTGCGGTCGAGTGAGCCACACCGATACCTGCGCAGTCTGCATCAATTGCTGTTATGTTGACCACTAAAATCTCGATATACCGCCAGCAATGTTCCCATTCGCCACTGTTACCAGCCAAGGAGCCGTGTCGATACACCCTCCTGGCGCTTGAGACAAGAAACCGTCCTAACCTACGGGCAGAACTTCGATGAAGACGTCTGGCAGCCAGGCGTGCAGCCGATCTAGTGCTCGTTCAATTATCTAAGCAATGCAGTCAGTAGCAGCTCGAGTCCAACGTCGTCGCAGAACAGCATGCCCTGTTTGCCTCGCCCATCTTGCAGTCCTTGGTAAAGGATATACCTTCACTGATCTCTGACTTTTGCCGGGTATGGAACTCTGCCTGTATCTAGCAACTCCGTCCAAGCATCGTCCTTTTGATGGCACGTTTGATTACGCCGACCGCTTGGCTAACGCTTAGGCAAAGCGCAGATCTCCGAACCATATACAAAAGTGAGGAGGATTCCAAAATCGAGGAGGAAAACGTAAAGTGTTCGAACAACCTTCCTCTTTTCACTCCCTCGATGTTTGGAAGGTTACCCCGCACAACCTATCTCTTTCTGCTCAGCCCTCATACCAATACATGTGTCAATTTCGGCCTTGGAGATTTACCGTTGAAATTCGTCAGTGAGTGGTAAAAGGTTTCGCAACTGTAGAAGGATGCCTTCGTCTTCAAAGTGGGCCCAAATGAGGTGGAGTGTAGTGCACGAAGATACAATATGACACACTAACAGGCATAATAAAAGAAGTGATAAGATGTTACATCAAGTATGTTAATACAGAAGTAGATAGGTGGTGCGTTTCGCCTCTGGAAAAAAACCAGACGAACCTGAGGCCCTTCAGTAGGGAAGATAAAACCAAAGGAATTGGTGGAATCAGTAGTAAACATGTTAGAGAGCAGGAATAGAAAAAACACAACCAATTCAAACTATCAAGCAAATACAGGGAATGGAAAGTGTAGAGGAGCGAATAGATATGCAGTAATGGGCCCAAGAGGTACAATAATATGTCTGCATATAATACTCAGTAGTAATATAATACTCAGTAGAGAAGGTCAGCAGGCAAATTAGAGCAAATCAACTAATTGCATACAAGCCAAAAAAAAACCTAGACCAAAGTAACATTGGACAAACATAGTTGTCCTTTTCTGACTATCTACTAATCAACCCAATGCTTCCACTGTATTCGTTATTAACACGTTGAACGCCGCGTGAATTGATATCAATACACGCGCATACTCCCGTTTCTCGCGTTTGTGTATTGCCCACAATTCACGTTTTGTGGGTCGGTTTTTTCGTGGATAATAGTGCGACTTGAACCATTCTCACCGAGTATATGTTCAGTGAGCTTTACTATGCTTAGTTCTTGATGGCGTGAAATAAGCTGCTCATTGGGGTAATTCATTAACATTACAAAATAACATTAAGTAATTGCACTTCTTATGATTGCTCCGCATCACTGCAATGGTAGTAAGACTTCTAGTGATAATTACAAATGTTAATTTACAATACATTTGATAGTGTTTAAGTCGTTATGATAATAATATTGGGTCGCCCATAAGTAATGGCGTTTTTTTCTCACTCAAAATATCGCGCTGAAGAAGAAGAGTTTCTCCATTGAGTTTTATACAGCTTGGCAGAGAGCTCTTTGCCCTACAGAGCAGTATTCCTAGTTTCCT